ATAATAATAATAATAAAATACAAATAATTACAAATAATAACAATAATACAAAAAAAGTAATAAGAATATAAAAACCCTTAAAAGAATAATAAAAATAAAAATAATAATAATAATAATAATAATAACACTATACCTACCCGGGTTAAAATGTCTTAAAAAAACACTTAAAATATAAATCACACAATATTAATTGATACTTTAGAAGCAGCTTTGAGGAGACGTTCACGTTGTCTGTGTCTCAGATGTCAACAATAACAGATAAACAGGAAGTAGATCTACCTCTGGGTCCGGGGAAACCAGGAAGGCCGCTGCCTCCGTTGTTTCCTGGTTCTCCTTTTTCTGCAAACTCTGATCTGAACGGAGGGGAGGGCAGACCGGGGGAGCCGGGGTATCCTCTGTCACCTGAAGGAGGGGAAACACACATTATGAGAGTCCTTCAGTTCGTTAAAATGCCATTTTAACCACACTTTTTGGTCGTAATCATCAGTATTTATTTTTCATGTTAAGTAGATTGAAGACTAATTTTCTCTGCTATACAAGTTCGCTGATTTCCTCTGCTTTTGGCCTTTTGTGACACACTACTAACCTGCACTCTCATCTGCACACTTGTGTAAATATATTTAACATGTTCATACGAATGCACAACTTTTTACTTTGAGATAAATAGAGTTCCATCTTATCGTACTTAATTCTGGATGCTTTACCTTTCGCTCCGGAGTACCCGGGGCCGCCGTTGAGTCCGTTTCTACCCTGTCCTCCAGACTGTCCTTTCCCTCCAGGAAAACCAGAAGATCCAGGACGTCCCGGGAGTCCAGGGAAGCCCATCAGTCCAGGGAAACCTGACTCACCTGTGGAAAACACAGAAAATCAAAATGTCACTGAATCCTTGAGATATTGTGAACAAACCATGATCCTATCAGCTGTGCGTTGAAAGCAAGCTTGATTCAGAATCGCTGATAAGACTCTATGATATCTTCCTACACTAACTTTACAGAAACAGCAACAGGAAGACATAGAAACACGGCCATTTAAGACATTACAATAGGAAAACATGCAATCAAATAAACATTGCTGATTTACACATATTTATTATATGTTGTATTGTTGGAGGAGATCAGGTCAGAAGAATTTCATTGCCATTTCTACACTGTAGCTTTGTGACAGGAAAACCTTTGAAACTTGATTCTCCCTAGTGTTGCGTTAGGTCCCCAAATCACAGCCCTAATGCAAAGACATGTGAGTACCAGAGATGGTACACACATCCTTTACTCAAGTAGAAGTACAGATACTCGTGTTTAAAAATACTCTGGTAAAAGTAGAAGTACTAACTAAACTTCTTTATTCAAGTGAAAGTAAAGAAGGCTTCGAAATGTACTTCAGTAAAAAGTACCCATAACTAGCAGCTGTTTTAAAGAGTACCTGACCTCCCTTTATATTAATAGAACAATAATGTCATTGTTAGCTAATGAATGTTTCCATGGTGACCAACGGCAACATGACAACGTTTTCATTGGTTCCTCTTCTTTAGAGAAGACCAGGAAATGATGGATACACGGATCGTGTTTAAATAAACATGTAAGAAGTAGAAAGTACAGGTATAGAAAAATGTACTTAAGTACAGTAACAAAGTATTTGTACTCCACTACTTCCCACCAGTAAGTACTTTGATTATAAACAGCATCTCTAGCCTACCCTTTCTTCCCGGTGTTCCTGGGATCCCGTCTCTAGTTCCCGGTCCGGGGGGTCCGGAGGGTCCTCGGGGCCCCGGAGATCCAGGGGTACCGGGCACGCCGGGGGTCCCCTTCATCCCCGCTGGTCCTGGGAAACCTGAGTCTCCTCTGTCTCCCTTTCTACCGGGGAAACCTGAGTGGGGACGGACGAAGGACGGCGAGACGGGCAAAAGAAAGGCGGAGGAATTTAGTCAGAAGGAGAAGGAATTATAGGCAAAATCTATACACTAATAGACAGGGTAATTTCACTTCTTCATACGCTTAAGTGAAGAAAAGGAAGGAGGAATTTAGTCAGAAGGAGAACATTATAT